AGAGGAGCGTTCAAATAAAAACTTGCCCCATTTGTGTAAATCGTGTAAACCAATCTCATCCGTCCATTTTCTTGATCAATGACTAAGATTAGTTTACTTTATTTTAGGAAATTAAAAAATAAAAAATATTAAAAAAATATTTTATTTCAATGATAAGGGCAAATTGGTAAACAAAAGTTAACATCAATATAACATTAATTCCAAATAAATAAAAGTTAACATCAATATAATATTAATTCCATAAACAAAAGTTAACATTAATATAATATCAATGAACCATTTTATAATGAAACCTTTTCACATTAACATTAATTCCATAAAGAACAAAATATAACATGCACCCGTTTCATCATATATTTATTTCATAAAAGAACACAATACATTACACACCTGTTTCATTTTCATCCTACCAACTAAACAGATCAACTTTAATCACAAAGCAACATGGTTCACCATGAACCTAGATGTACATTCAATCACAAAGCAACAAGGATAACCATGAAACTTCAATCACAAAACACCTATTTCATTAACACGTATAATATGCATAAACAGAGCAAATAAACCATTTTACAATGAAACATTTTCACATTGAAACAGTTTCATGACCATTGTTTTTTGAACTTTGTTTATGAAACTATTCATTACAATATTTTCATTAGGAAATAGAGAGATTATATTATTTCGATTTTTCAACTGTTTTGAAACATTTGATGAAACCGTTGCATAAATAGTTCATTTTCCTTATTCCACTCATATGAACATGATTCATCATTATGAACCTTTTTATTATGAAACAGTTTCATTAAACCTTTTCATTAAAGTGGATAATATGCCTAGAGTATTAATTTGGACAATATGCCTAGAGTATTAGATTATGAACATGCTTCATCATTATGAAACAGTTTCATGAAATTTGCCCCATATGAACCTTTTCATTATGAAACAGTTTCATGAAATTTGCCCCATATGAACCTTTTCATTATGAAACAGTTTCATTATGAACATGTTTCATCATTATGAAACCTTTTCATTATGCATTTAATATAATATGCAACCGTTTCTTCGTAATGAAACCTTTTCATATGAACATTAATATATTATGCTATGGTAATATGAAACCTTTTCATTTTAAAACATTTTCATATGAACATTAATATATTATGCTATGGTAATATGAAACCTTTTCATTTTAAAACATTTTCATATGAAACAGGTTCATAACCGGTAATTTTTGATACAATGAACATCAAATCATTCATTCATTACATAACAAGATAAAATCTTCATAAATGTTTCCAGCTTCATTGAATAAAAAAAAAAACAAATCAATTTTTAATATTATAAAATATTAAAATCTTTAAATCATTCCGTTTATATAATTTCCATTATTAAATTTCTTTATTTAATATTCCTTAATAACTTCCTTATTTATGAAAAAAAAAATGAAAATGACCAAAGTGACCTTATTGATTAAATTTAATTAAAAAATAATGGAATTTTCCTATTGGTCGATTTTGGTTTACACGGTTTTTTAGAATGACATGGTTTTCATTTGAACCTGCCCCTATACATATATATACACACACACACATACACATATATATATATATATATATATATATATATAGAGAGAGAGAGAGAGAGAGAGAGAGAGAGAAGAGTTTCTAGAGGAAAATTGGAAAAAAAAAAATTGAAAACCTGAGGAACAACTACAAGGTTTTTATCTTAAAGATTCTCAGGACTATTTGGTTCATAGAATGAAATTTCAATTATCAAAGAATCTGATTTTAAAAGAATTGAAATGGATAATTCATTTGACCAAATTCCACATTCTATGGTTTGTTCACATAATGAAAATGTAGAAATCATTTGAATTCCACAAATTAATGAATTCATCATTCCTTAGTGGTAGCAAAAATACACATGCACATAAAATGTGGCACAATAATGGTGCAAGTATACACCATTATTGAGTTCGCTTTCAGGTAACGAAGTGGTGAAAATACCGAGATCGTATCCACAGATAGCAGACTTCAAAGTTTCGAGTAGTAAGTTGAGAATACAATGATTTCAATTAGAGAAGAAAAATATATATTTGACTGAGTTGGTGATTTTAACAATGAAATATAAACAAGAAACTAATAATG